AAAAAACACACCACAAAAGTCCTGTAGGACAAGTTCTCTTGCCCCACGCACGTCCTTCACTATAATGTTGACACTGCATACATTGCCTATGCGTGCAATCTCGATTGCTCTCGAACCAAAACGTACGTTCGCTTAATATAAATGAAAAAAGCAATATATCTAAAAGTACACGCATATACAGACTCACAAAGCGCCAACAGGAGGGACGCGCAAGATTTACGACCAACCTCAAAACTCTGAACCACCCAAAGATGGACCATCGTGGAAGCCAGCACCTATACGGTTACGCTGAAAAAATAAAATAAATAAAATGTAGCGTGTAGCCTCGTTTCTAACGTTCTATTGGTGGAGCTCGCGTTCACACGTCCGCTTCGTACAATCTGACTGGTCAATCCGGCCTCAGTGTCGCGTCTCATCGAAGACATTGGATTGGCTGTTCGCGGCTCCTAACTTTGGCTTCAGTCCATCTCCAGGTCAGTCGGAGTCTACACTCCGCGCCACCTTAGTATAAAGCGCAGTGGACTCTACGAGCCATCGAAGCCCAATCCAATTCCACGCGCGTTTCACGTGACCTCCGGTAGGGGCGCAGCAACAAGAGGGGGAGGGCGGTCACGTGATTCATTCGCAACGATCTGCTTTGGCCGAGATGGCTCATGGCGTCTGTTGCGGTCCATCGTCAGGCGAAACGGGAGCACGGAGTTTCATGCGCGCCGGTTGGTTATTTGGTTTCATATTCGGTTGTTACGCGCGGAGGACCGTGCCATATGTGGCGGACGGACGCTCACTTTCTCGGCGGCGAGGCAAGGGTGGCCTGGCCAGATGCAAATGCCACGTATATGAGAGCTCGTGAATAATGCATGAATTCTAACACTTCACACGTCCAATGTAAGATGCGTGTTTTCTTTTGTTTCTTTTTTTTTCGGGATTCTTTGGGAGGACGCAGAAGAAGGGTAGGGAAGAAAGCAGCCATCGAGTCGTTTTTCACTGAACGAGGAAAGGTGGTTGCGACGGCGGGTACACCGACGCTGGCTGGTTCGTGTCGTTCGTTTAGGTTTAAATTGTGTGTGTGTGTGTATGTGTGTGCAGAAAAAAGAAAGAAAGAGGGAGAGTTTGTATCTATGGTTAGTCACCGGCACTTTATAAGAAACGGAGGGTGCGGTTGATTGCAAAAGCCTTGCGCGGATAACAGTTTGATCATCCGCATCCGATCTGGATCAGATGACTTTGTATTCGCGTCTGAATCGCATCCCCGAAATTGCAGAGCGCATCCGACCCGCTATCCACGCATTAGTTTCACATCGCAAAATAAACGCAAATAAAAAAGGCATCTTGATGGAATTTTTGAGTCAAAACACGCGGAAAGACATTTTATTGTATGCTGTTTTATTATAATTATATTAAAAGTGATAATCCTTCCGGAAACGCTTCGCTCCGACGGAAAAAGATATCGCAGTAATGAGATCGTCTTGGGAGTCTGCGACACCCTGCCCAGAAAATGCGCTATAAAAAAAAAAAAGGATTTTTTTTTTTCGGTTTGCTTTGTAACACCCATTTCAAGCAGACGCGAATTTTCCAAGCATGAAAACGAACGAAGGAGACGCTAATAACATTGCCATTTTATTTAGGTCAAACAATAAAAAAAGTGAGAGAGGAAGGGCGGTCACTCATCGCAGCAAGCTATTCTCGTCGTATGCGCCAAAAAACTAAGGGAGAGAAGGAGACAAGAGCTCCCGGGGACATCAAAACATCGAGCTCTGGTTGGAAAGATTAGTGGGTACACATAAAGCTACGCAGAGCGTAAGTTCGTCTGCTTCCTGCACAGGGGTTGCAATGATGTCAGAACGCAGAGCTCATACCGCCTGATTGAAAGAAAAAACAAAAGTATATAGTGGGTAGACCTCAAGGCATCTAGGTCTACCCAGTATCCTTTCAGTCAAAACCAATCAGACCTCGGTGTCGTTCTGACGTTACTGCAACCCGTGCGCAAGAGCTAGGCAGACGAACTTGGGGTCCGCCTAGCTGCCGTTAGGCTGCTTTACTCCGACGTTGAGCGTAAGCAAACGCGGCGTAGCGCAGCGCGCACAGATACTAATATGTCGCAGATATCGAGTTCCTGCTCGCCGTCCAATCAAAAGCACCACGTTCCGTGCTACGCTGCGTTCGCTGCTCCCAAAGGTCGGAGTATAACATAACCTTTTGTCTTCACCGCGCTCGTCGAACGCGGTAAAACACGGAACGCCGGCATCCTGCATTTGATTTTTTCATTCGAAAGCATTCTACAAGCGCAGTGAAGACAAAGGCAGCCTTTGTTTCCACTGCACTCTTCGAATGTGTTGGAACGCGAAACGTCGGTGTCAGGTTTTTGGCTTTCGCATTCGAACGCATTCTGCGAATGTATATAGTGAGACAAACAAGACAAAGGCAGCTGTAGCTTTAGGTCTACCCACTAATCCTTCAAACCAGAGCTCGGAATTCTGACGTTCTTGCCCCCTCCTTTCTCTTAGTTTTCGGCGCACACAGGTGGTAACACGCGAGTACATCGAAGGGGAAAAGATGCGTCTACTTTCTTGCGGCTTGTACGTTTTGGGATTACTTTGCCCGAAGGACGTTCTCCGCTTTTTCAGCATTTTTCGGCGAGATACAATACAACACTCTAAAGCGATCTTTAATGATAGTCGGATCTTGGCGTAAAGAGCAATTTTCCCGCCGTTTGGAACCTTTCTTCGAAGAGTGTAATTTGCTCTCGCAGTACACTCGATGATGCACTATAGTCCGTTGCAACCTAAGAACGAAGGGCGAGGGTAAGACAGGCCGGGGAGGAGGAAGCAGACGGAACGCTGGAGAAGAGAGGGGGAAACCTCCTTCTCTCTTTAGCGTTCCGTCTGCTTCCTCCTCCTCGGCCCGTCTTACCCTCGCCCTTCGTTCTTAGGTTGCAACGGACTCACTCCGCGGTCGTAGTCGTTTGTAAGCTGCGTCGGCAAAAAAAAAAAAAAAAAAATGTAGACCCGGATTTGCAGATATCCAGATTCGATCCGCATCCGCAATCCGCCAAATCTTATTCATTTTTATCCGCGTGCGCCAGTCGACGGCGCATATCCGCGGATAGCCGCGGGTAATATCCGCGGGTATGCAGAGCTCTACATTTGTAACCTTCCTACTTCTTGCTTCGCGGCGTTTCGCTCTTCGGACTTCTTATAGAAAGATGCCAGAATATAATTGGGTGCGTACGCGATAACACGTTGCCCGGCACTCGCCCCATTCTACGTTTCTTAAAGATTTACGATCACTGCGCCCTGGGCGTGGCACATTTACTTCACCATTTCCCTCTTAATGATTCCTTCTCCGAAGTTCTTATTTGCTTATGCTGCAATCTCAATTGCTCCGGAGCAATATATGACGTTCAGAGCTCGCGTCCCGCCCCATGTTTGTTAAGCTGTCAGTACGTACAAAATGGGCAATTGACCACCTCGTGCTTTCCGAGTTTCTTATTTATCTTCCCAATTGACTTAACCCGTTTTCTACGTGTTTGAACCTTGGCAGTCCTGTAACACGTTACTAAAAAAAGGAGTTGATTACAATTACATTACTTTTCTTACAAGTATTCATTTAGAATACATGATTACTGTACACGAAAAGTAATCGGCAATTGCGTGAAAAGTGACCGTTACTTCTCCGACTACAGTTTTTCAAAACGACAGAAGTTTCTGCCGGCCACTGCCAAAGATAAAGCCTATAAGCTCAAAATTCCCGCCTACAAAAAAAAAAAAAAAAAAAAAAAATGTCATTAAAAAACGAATATTTGTTCAGAATGTTATACTAAACATTTTGAGGAATACAAGAACTGTCAAATTAGCTGGTTGTTTTTTTAAAGACATGTTGAGCTGGCGACGGCAGATTACTTGCTCTCTTGTTCTGTTAAAAATGCCAGCACGTTGGCGGGGTGGTGTCATTTTAATTCCTTTTATCGTATTAGGTCACGGTCGAAAGTAGTCATAAAATAAATCAAATCAAAAGACGTGACTGGCAAAACTGGGAGTTTAGATAAAGCGCACAGAGCGGGGTCTCCTCTCATTAAAATCTTCTAACCCCCCTCCCTCCCGCCTAACGTTGGCCCTCGACCTTTCCGGTGTGGGCTACCTTGCCTCCACATTCAAAAGAGTTTGAGACCACTGGTTTAAAACATTGCGAATTCCCGATTTTAATTCCCTGTTGTTCGAAACGGTTGTAAATGTGCACCTCCGGTCTAGCCCTTTTAAGGCCCCCTACGTTTCCGCGCGTGGTCTAAGGCCTAAAGGTCGCTATTGAACTGGGCAATGTTCCACGAGATATAAAAAAAAAAAAAATAGTTCGAAAATACTATGTTTTCACATTCATTAAGAAACTTACTCCCAATGCTCTGAATGCCAATTTCAGGAACGAGCTGAAATGGGCATTACTTTATAATAAAGAAAATAGTTTTTTCTCAATTAGGATTAATTACATACGGATTATCCTTCACAACTCTTGTGCGTGCGTGTGTGTGTGTGTGTATGTGTGCGCGCGTGCGTGCGTGCGTGTTTGTGTGTGCGTGCGTGCTTGTGTATGTGTTTGTTTGTGCGTGAGTGAGAGAGAGAGATAGAGATTCGTTCTGCTGACTGCCAGGCACTGCCAGACAAGCTCAATGACGCTTTGGCGTGTCTGGTTTCGTATTTGTTTATTTTTGACATGAAATAAAATATTACTATTATTATTATTATTATTATTATTATTATTATTATTATTATTATTATTAGTCTCCGCGCACCTGCCTCAAGCATGTTTGGATCATGTTTTCTTCATACATATGCATGCAGAGAGTTTTGTAACAATACCGTCATACAAGGAGGAAACGCGCCCAGTGTGCGCAGGCTGTCTTTTCGTATGATGTATTCGCGGGATCACCGCGGCTTTGAGCTGCCGGAGTGACACCAGTGTCGTCGATGTCGGCCTTTGTGACACCGCTCCCGTTCACTGCCACGCAGGGGTCTCGCAAACGAAGATGCCGAAGGACGCGGTGTGCCTCACGCGCCCCGTGGTCTACACCTTGGCCAGCCTCATCGGCATCGTGCAGGCGGTCATCCTGGGATCCTGCTGCCTGCTGCTCTTCGTCAACCGGAAGTGGCGACTTACGCGGAAACGGCTGGCAACCATGCACTCGTCCAGCAGCCGCGCTTCCGTTTCCAGCAAGTCGGAACTCTTTCTGAGGACGTAGCGACTCCGACAGCAGCGCTCGTCTCGGCAGCGGCGGATGGCGGACAGCGGAGACGTGAACAGTGAGGGAACCACGACGGTTCACTCGGATGACGTCGCAAGTTTTTCGCCGACTTAGGAAGCCAGAACGAACGAACTACAACGGCAGACAGCAGCAACGACTTGAAAACCCCATGTTTATTTTCAGGAGTTCTGCCAGGAATGTTTGCTTTTCCAGTTCGTTTTGCGGGGGAAAAGCCGAGAGGCAAGATTGCCGGGAACAAAGGAAAGGTACCGGAAGCCAGCTTTTTGCCAATATCACCTGCTGGAAATTTAAACTTGCCGAAACATCTGGTTTGCCACCTATTTCTGATATATTTGGCTCTTAATAAGTCCCAAAATGTGTATCTACAGAGCTGCAATTGTGCTAAACAGTGCCCTCAAACTGCAGTCTCGAAAAAGCTGATACGACACCTTTCAATTGTTTCGCCGGACTAAAAGTTAGCCGCGTGGTTGTTGCTGGGTCGTATGCACTGCATGCGATGATCTCTTTGAGAAAACGTAAAGATACGGGACCGTCTGAGCGTGTACGTCAATTACCTGCATTCTTCAGACAGTTTGAAAGACATTTCGAGTCTTGGCCTTTGAGTTCGCGATCTTGGCTTGCTACTTACCGATAGGCAAGCTGTCTGTTTTTGATCTGATGTCCTGGGACTTAAAGTCAAACGAAATTGACGAACTGGACTTCTACGAAAGACAACGTTTCAGGGTGGTCATTGTGACTGAGATTGTGTATGAAGTGTCCAATGAGTTATTTTTATTGGTGTGTTGCTGTCAATGGTAACTGGAAAGATCGCTGTTCGTCCTGTGTTTAGGCCGGAGAGGCAAGAAAAGATGTGTGCACTGTCAATTGATGCGGTATGTTGATGACAAAAGTCGGCTGGTCCGCTCTAAGTTCCGTGTGCAACTCGGTCGCGGAGATCAAAGCCAAAACATGTGCTTCAATGTGTCTGTTTGATGTTAAGCATTTTATCAAGTATTTTTTTTTTTTTGACACACGTAAGACGTGTGGTTGTCGTGATGAGTTTGGTGTTTCACCGGTAATTATTAATTTGCCGAATTTCCGTAAGGCAGCAGGTTTTTTCTTCTTTTTGTGTTTTTTTCGAGTTTTCATTTTTGTAACGTGTTCATGGTGCATTGTTATGCATTTATTTTTTTGTTTTTCAAAACCATACAGCTGATTAGACAGTGTAGGAAGAAAGGACTTATTGTAACGTCCTGACTGACAAGGAAAAGAAAAAGAAGTTCATATTTGTTTCACCTTAGAAGAATTTGCATGCTTACCGATATCAAAGGAATGATGTTTAGATCGCGTTTTAACTTCCTGACATTCTACGCAGGTATTATTTTTTTTTATTTTTCTAAACGATAACTATGTTTCGTTGTTTTACCACTACTGCTGTACATATGGCTTTTTTGGGGGGGCACTTAACCACAACACACAAAAAAAAAGTGTTTCAGTTTCATGCATTTACAACTTCCAACGCATTAACACTTCCAGCTGTAACTACGTACTTCCACTTTTTTTACGTTACATAGACGAGTAATTAAATGCCGGTAGCCAACCAAACATAGCTTAATATGAGTTAGGTTCCGTCCTTAGTCGAATCTTAATGGTGATTCCGTTCCACATTCTAATAATGGAGTCTATAGTCACTGATCATTTAAGAAACGCAGGGCGTGATTTCGGCGTTCATGCTTCTTGAATAGTTCGTCGGCTCTCTCGTCGGCTGATGATGCATTATTTACTAAGGGGTGACTATGTGACTCCTAGGGCTCGCCACGCTTCACGTTTCTTAAGTCTTCTGTGACTGGTTTTCACAGCTTCGTTGTGGCAGGTGATCTGTGTCGTGATTCGAAGACATTCCACAGACATAGACTACTAACGTCTGTGGTCTACGAAAAAAAGGGATTGAAGCGATGATAGTTCCTAAGTAGTGTTAATCGCAGTAGGTGGAGGCAGTCGCCGCTTTGGACAGCACTTGAACAAAGGCTCACAGTCGACCGTAGTATATGCCCCGCCGGCATCACTCTCAGTTAATTAGGTACTGTCGCGGGACTGTGTACTCGAGTTCTTCCCAAACCCCGACTACTATAGACCGTTTCCGTCGTCACGTTTAGATATGGTGCCTGCAGCAGGGCGTGTCCGATTGGGGGGGGGGGGGGGGGGGGGGGCGACCGCGCGTCCGCAAAAATGGTCCCTGGATTTCCGCCTGATGACGTCATAGCGGTATCACGTGTTTGCCGCGATCCTGGCGGTGGCGCAGCAGAGGAGGTGGATGCGGTAGAGGTCTGTTCTGTTGCCGCGGTCGCTCTGCTGCCAGACAGACGATGGAAACGCAAGCTGATGCGAGATGGTACGCCGCGACGACAGCGACCCCAGGGTCCGTTCGACTTTTTCGCCGGCATCGCTACGACCAACCGCCAGGTTCGCGATGTCCGACAGCGTGGCTCGCGTGCTCGTGTGACGCAATTCGGGACCATTTTCGGTGCGTCGGTGGGATTGCACGGGGAAACACACCAGTCGAAGACGCGTTCGAGGCAGCGTACTTTTATTAGAGTTCGACCCTAATATTTTCTGCTCCTTCCTTAGATCCCTGTATTTATTTTATGAATCCGAGAATGAAACGTGAGATACGTGAAACTACAAGATGATAGCGATTCGAACAAGCAATTATGTCATTTCGTTAGTTAAAAAAATATAAAAAACAACAATAAACGAGACTTTTTTTTAAATCTTCTTTGGCAGGTATTTATTTCTCGAGTCCATTAGCTACCGCGTCTGCATCTTTTCCCGGCTTTTTGTTTGTTGCTTAGTGTTGGTCAACTTTCTTGGGGACGTTGTGTGATCCTGGGATCGCAGACCTAGCACTGGTTTGACAAATTGTAGTCACGTGCTCGCCATGAGCGGTAGACGGATTTCTTTAACCGGTGTTCTGTCTGTTTGGGAGGCTGTTACCTATAACATCAGTCTTTTTTTTTACCTGTGTCGCATTCTTGTTCCACTTAAAAAATCGCTCATACCCTCCCTCCCTCCACGTGCGTTTTTTTTTGTTATTACGTGTATGTATGTGCTGTAGTTATTGTTTTCGTGGTCCCATTTTTTCGTGATGTCTATTTTTTTAATGGTTGACAGCGTGTTTTTTTTTTTTTTTTCATGTTTCCAAACACGTATACGACATCACTTCAAACTTGCACGTATTTACAAACACACACACACACACACACACATACGATGCCACACAGTGATGGGGTTGTGGCTCTCGAGAATTTTAAGGAACGACGCGACGAGCTTTGTTTTTAAAACTTGAAGACGAGTGACTTTTTTTTTTTGTAATTGTTCGTATCCAATAAAGCTTGGTTCGTTTGATACTCGTCCATGTCCATGTATCAGTTCACTTACACATTCAAGTTTTATTATATAATACTTGTGATATATCCACTGCCAGCGTAAGAAGCGCAGATACTGACTTTTATATTTTCACCCTTGCATCGTGATTTGTTTCTCGGCGTTCTTATTGATTAGCAATGTAGCACCCAATCTTATGCGGCGAGCAAGTCGTCTGCTTCCTGCGGAAGGGTTGTGATGACCTCAGAACGCCGAGCTCCGATTGGCTCTAAATGAGGGATAGTGGGTAGACCTCAAGGCATCTTGCTTTGAGGCCTACCCACTATTCCTTTAATGAGAGCCAATCACAGCTCGGCGTTCTGACGTCACCTCAGCCCCTGCTAAAGAAGCAGACGAACTGACGCTCCTGATTGGCATATGACGTTTAACGGGCTCAGTGTACCAGTTAACGTCCTGCATACGCACATTCCACCCTCAGACTACTACTAGCCCCGAGAAGTTCGGGTGGCGCCCCCTTACGGCTAACCAGGGTGACGTCACGGCGAGGAGAGAATTTTTCCCCGACTCGCCCCGGTCGCCCTGTGGAGGTTGTGACGACGCCAGCTGTCGGCGCGCTCGTTTCTATTTAATTACTTTTTTTGGCGTGTTTTTTGTAGGAAGTGCAAATTTTTATATGTGCGTTTATTGAGGTATGGCCTGTAGCTACAGGCGAAACTTCAAGCAACATTTTAAGCATAGTTGACAGGGCAGGCAACGCATGAATCGCAGCTGGTATATGAAAATAAAGGAATATGGCCACAATTGCAGGAGCATCACTATAAATTTACACCTCGCCCAATAAGTGCTGCTGATGGTCTGAATGACTTGGCAGGTTATGTATACTATTTCTTTTTTTTTTTGTATCTCTGTTTCTAAACAAGATCGCCGAAACAGAAAAGCTGCGTGCTGCTCAAGCAACATGCTAAATACAGTCTTGGCCATGGGGAGAGAATCACAAGTAAGACCGCCCAAGTACAGGGGCAAAGTAAAAAAACAAGGAATATTTCTTATATACATTGCTCGCATTTGACCTTTGTTGGATTCGGATAGTATTTTAATGGACTACACTGGTGGTATCTGTGGACTTGTTTGTATCAACCCTCAAGTAATGTATAACAAAACGTAAGCGAAGGTGTCTAGCTCGTTATTAGTCCCTTAAGCCCTAAAATTGAGATTTTACTTAAATCGAATTGTCCTGGAGCTAAAATACCAGAAGCATTTCTCACGCAGGTGGTCGCCCTTCACAGGTTCAACATTTTCTGCTACTAGTGCTGCATCTACCACTGGACAGACGTTCGAATGCTTGCTTTTACTCCTGTTTTCCTCTGTTGTCGCAGGGTCCAGCTGTAGGGAGTTTGGAGGCTGAGGAAGCTTTTGGAGACCTGCAGCAGCGTCTCTTTTAATTGGAAAGGACAATTCAGAATAAATGGCGTATTTTCGAATACCCAATGTGGAATAAAAATGTCAGAAAAAAGTATAAACATTCCAAATAACGGTACTATTGCTGTGCATATTTTGGGCAGTTCAATACATATCATACAGGCCACTGGGGGCAGTTCGGCCGTTTTGCTGCTGCCATATACAAATAATTTCGAGTAATTGTACATCTTCTAAGAAATATGCCTGCATACGTGTATAAATTATATAATTAATTCACGAAGAAGCTACATTTATGTAAAACAACCCTGTTCCACGAGCACTTCAAAATCATCAGACACAGGGCCTTTAAAACATCTGCAAACCAGCGCATGCAGAGTGGCAGCGCAAAGTCGGGGTCGCGAGCTAATTTGCCGACCACCCAAAGGCCCATGATATAAATGCTACTTCAAATGCCTTGAAAGCGGGATGTAATATCGTCCTAAATCATGAACATGCAAGGAACAGAATTCCAGCATCTAAAAACTTCACCGATCCCTCGTAAAATTGCCTTGTGTCGTGTAAACCGACAGGGAGGTTCATCAGCGGAATTGCCTCTGCCGATAGCTTTTGGGATTTGTAACCTAATTATAAAGGTAAAAGAGACAAGCAGGCTTATAAAATGTACGGAAGCACTCAACGTCTTGTACACCGGGTAAACGAACGAGGTCCCGCTCCTCGAAGTGCTTGCAGCACTCAACTCCAAACCAGGAAACCGGTGCAAAGAAGCGAGCCGGATGCGAGACCGCGGAGCGGAGTCCTTTTCCTGACGTCACGGTACACCTCACCCAATCAGGGCGCGGCGACCGCAGCGACGCTCGTGTTCGCTCTCGGGGCTAATTACTACATCCTTTGATGTGTAAAATAAAAATGTAAAAAACAAATGATAAAAATGGCTGTTGCGTGGTCATGCCGACAGTGTTGCCCTCTGTAACCGCAGCGAAAGTACTGCGGAAGGCAACAAGTACGTGCTAGGGTTTAGGAATCTGAAGAAAATACAATGCTATTTCTCATCCTGTCAGTGGCTCTACGGAGCGCAAGTGAAGGAGAGAAGAAGAGGGAGGCGCGGTGAGTGGAAGTGATCACGCGTGTGCGACGAAGCTCCGCCCCCCCCAGCTGCCTTTCGGTCCGGAGCAGACGAAATCTCGGCCACGGGCTCCTCATTCGTTGGAATGCGTAGTTGTAAGTCAGAAAAAACGCGGTACCCTTCGAGGTTTCGGCTCTCCCTTTTCTTGAGACTTGAAGGGCATACAAGTCCTTGTTCGTAAAGAACCGTCCAATTTTCAAGATCCGTAGAAATAAAATTCGGCGGAGGCACTTAAGACTGCTAACGTGTAAAAATGCTTTCGCATTCCTACAAGCAACGCGCCACGTCTCCATTTTTCACACGGGTGACATCAGGCCCAGGCGCGGCGAACCCCGCCGGCTTCGCGACGGCTTCCCTGACGAAGCATCCGCGTTGCTGCGCTTTTCTTTGGGTTTATTTCTGAGGTGCGTCCGCTTTGACCTTGAGCGACCCCGCAGGCTTCGGTGACTAAGAATCTGCGTAGCTGTGCTTTCCTTTGCGTTTTATTTCTGAGGCGCGATGACGTATTGGTGTGACCATCTTTCGGGCACAACGCCGCCGCTTTTTTCGCGTAATGGGACAAGTGAGGCTTTCGCCTTAAAATAACCATTGTTGTGAATGGCAGACGACGTCGGGGCGATGAGTTCACAACAGGACGATAGAAATTGATAGGGCAACGAATAACCTAGCTGTTTCTAATTTTGTTTTTCAACGAGCTCGCTAAAAATGAGTGTTTTAAATGCGGCCAGCACTTCTTTAAGTACTCTCCCCTTAAAACTTCCGGTCGTCACACTGAAACGCATGCGCACGCACTGGGGAGTGCGGTAAATGTGCCGTCCGCCTCTCATTCGCAGCGAGAAGTTTAGGTATCGCCGCCTGGTCGATATTTTTTTCACAACCCAGAGTGAGGACACTTCAACTTCCTCTGCTGGTGCAAGCACGTGCACCGCCAAGCTTATATGCAGTATGAAACTGAAAGCATAACCGCGTGGGTAGCACGTGCACTAACCATAGTGAGGAAAACAGAAGCGCCTCTAACGAAGTTCTAACCGCAACTAGCGCGCGTGCCGCACTCTTCATACAAGAGATAGCTGAAGAAAATTCGGCGATGTGGTGACTATGATCGTGCTCTACGTTCGAAATAGGAGCCGGAAAAGAGACTGGAGAAATGTAGAAAAACAAGATAGGATTATCGCAACTTATTCCGCAAAACAGTCTTTACACACACACACAAAAAAAACAGTGTTATCATATTTTAACGACGTCTGGAGCGCGGCAGTGCAAAAACACAGCCCTGTTTTTTTTAGACAAACCGGAGTCACTGGTGGATGAGCGTGCAATGTCCTGAGGACAAACATTACATCCCCGAGAGGGTAATACGACGAAGCAACACGACGACGACGCGGAACACTGGGACTGGGTGGGGAGGGGACAGGGAAGTCAGCCGAGCATTAATTGTCAGTCTCCCAAGAGCCGAGGCATATCCCTCAGCTCGGCGATCACACGGGCGTGTCGAACGCGACTCCTATGAATATTCAACGATTAGCCCAGCTCCCTTTTTCTCTCTTTCTCTCCCGTCAACCCCTCACCCATTACCAAAGCGAGCGCGCAGTCACCTTGTAATGCGTCCACTCGACGCACGGTCGCAGCTCGCCCTTAATTCTTTCATAACTTCAAAGAGAGCGCCATGCCTAATTAAATATATGTTTTCCATTAAAACAAGCAGGGGGGATGTCGAAAATTACCCGAAAACTCTCTCTCTCATTCTCCCCTCCCCTCCAAACCTAACACGTGACGCTCTTCGCCCAGGCATCAGCGCGAGAGCACATATGCATTATCTAAAATGACAGTTCGGTGGGAGCTACGCGCTCCGCCGGACCAATCAGCTGCTTCCCTTTCATAATCTGGGCAAGCGTGATCACGTGGAAAAAGGTAGAGGTTCGACGGGTCAAACGAGCACACAGCTTTCACCTCGCTGTCAGCTGTTAAAGGCGAGCGGAGCACAATTTGAGCACTCGTACTTTCGGCGCGTAGGCGAAAACGAGAGTGCTGTTCAAAAATCGATCGGAGTCAAGTGGGGTGCGTTGGGAAAGAGTGCGAGAAGGAGGAAAAGTGAGAAAGGAAGAGGGGAAAAGAGTGAGAGAGAGCACGAGGAGAGCGTAGGCGACGCGTTCCTAATTGCATTCGCTGACCTCGCAGATTTTGAGAGATCTCCACTCTTCTCTTCCCAGTTGTCCCTCCCACTGTCCTCTGTCCACCCGTGTACTGACAGTGCTGGTGAAGCTGCGTGGTTGTTGGACCAGTCGTGCTTTCACCACGTGATCACGCTCCCGCCTCCCACACGCTGAGACCGTTATCACGTGACAAAAGGGAGGCGATTGATTGGTCCGGAGACTGCGTAGCTCCCACCGGACTCTCAGCTTAGGAGTGAGCAGGGAGTAGGGGAGTGGGCGCCCTCAAGGGTGCAGCTGTGGTGGCCGTAGGTCACTACAGCTCTG